TTTATTTAAAAAGACAAAAAACTATGACAAATGGATGACATTAAATCACTCTGAAGTACATAAGAGAAAGGTTATTATAAATTTTCTTTGGAATAATATTTCCTTCAAAAATAAGAACTGAAAGTAATTATGTGCAAACAAAAACAAAATCAGATTTCTAAAAGTGCAGTCATCTTATGAGGGTGTCTTCTTTTCAACATAAATAATTTTAATAACCAAAAGAATGAATTCTAACCAGCTTCTCTCCCATGATACGTTTAATTACTCTGTTACAAGCAAAAGGAATTTTAGCATGTGTAACAGACCACATGTGAAAAAACAAAGTTTCAAAAATTAAAATCCATGATTCTTACATGATTATACTTAGGTCAGATACACAAGACTGGAAATAAGCAGTGTTAACCAAGCATGTGCTTTAATCACCACAAAAAAGAAAGAGTCCAAAAATGTGAGAAAGGATTTCTCCTCATGTCACTTTTGACTAGATGATATAGTAAAAGGCAAAACATAAAATACATGTTTTTACTTCAAAAGAAATTAACCAGAAAAAAAATTCACCAACCAAGATATAATGAGATTAGGATTATGAGCACAGAACACTTAGACTCATTTCATTCAGATGAGAAAGTAACACTTCAAGGGAAAGAACTCTTCTACTATAGCAGAACTGGTGCCTCATTAACCCGAGGGGAAGAATGCTTGATGATCTGAATGAGTGACTGTGACAGGGAGGCATGGAAGACTGGGATACTGTGGAGGGACAGTGCTGATGGCTGAGAAGCCATGGAGTCTCCTGGGCACATCTTGCCAACTCCATCCATGGTCAGAAGCATCCCATTGTACCTTGACCACAGAAGTGAGCTAATGTCAATCAGACCCGGACTTGGTGATAAACACATTATCCCAGCCCTCAAGAAGCAGAGGCAGGAGGATTGCTACAAATTCAAGGTCAGCCTGTTCTAAATAGTGAGTTCCAGGTCAGCCAGGGTTACACAGGGAGACTATGCCTCAACCCACCCACCCTCAAAATAAGTAGTTGTCAATCAGGACATTTAGTTCGGAGAGCTGGTTTACCAGCACATCCAAGGTAAAGAGAAGAAAGAATAATTCAGTCTGAGATATATTCTACTGCAAGACTTCAAGTTAACTGGTTGAATTGTTCTGTGGGTAGTGAAAAGATGTAGGTGATTTTTTTTTCTTCGTAGTTTTACATCCTTTCTAAGCTTTCACTAAGAATATTAGTCTTAGCTGGGCATGATGGCTCACACCTGCAATCCCAGCACTTTGGAAGCTGAGGAAGGAGGATCTCCATGAGTTTAAGGCCATCCTAGACTACAGAATGAGCCCCTATCTCAAGACAAAACAAAACAGTCTTAGCCAGGAAAAAAAATTAATATAAAGATATCATTAATCACAGACTGAGGCTGCAGTTCAGTAGTACAGCACTTGCCTGACATGTGTTACCATGGCCCTGGGTTCAATCCCAGCACCACAACAAAACAACACCCCCCAAAAAACCTCAAATGAAGCAATCTAACCTTTCACAGCAGACAGAATCCTTCCCTAGGGAGCGGCTCAAACCTCCTTCCTGAATAGTTAGGACTTGCTCAGGCCTGAGTCAGCTAGCTGCGCTTCATTAGATATCAGAACCGCCCCTTCCCAAGGGCTTCCTGGAGATTTTCTGTCCCTTTATTTCTGGAAAAAGCCACTTATTTCTCTCTTGATTCTACCTTCACCATCACTAGACCCTTGATTAGAATTAGATCCCAGTAAACACCATGGTAAAAAAATCAAACTGAAGGAGAGTGCCCCTCAGAGCCCCTCCCTGTCCTCTGAGAAAGAGCTGCCCTCTGCCTGACTCTGGAAATCCCCTAGATTGTTCAAACCCTTTCCTGGTACATCTATTTATGGCTTCTGTGGAAATGGTCTGGGGCAAGAGAGGAAGAACAGTCTGCCCCAGACAAGCTAGCCAATAGCTGTATAGGTTAAGGCTCTGGAAATCAGCCCTAGATTGTTCAAATCCTTTCCTGGTTCTTCTGTTTATGGTTTCTATAGAAATCCCCTGCTCTGCGGTTTTTGTGCTTAAAAGCCCTGTGTTTCCATAGCTCTGGGTCGCAGTGCAGTTCCCATGCCTGCCTGGGTCCCCAGCCAGTCGGTCTCAATAAAGCAGATAAGTTTTCCTGAGTCTCAGTGTCCAAAGAACACTGAGAATTCAGGGGATTCTTTGGACCCCAAACACAAACCAAGACTATGTAGCTCCAGCAACAGAGCACCTGCCCAGCAGGCCCACAGACCCTAGATAGTAAGTTCAGGCCAGCAGGGCCACACAGCAAGACCCTATTTCAAAAATTAGCAAAGAGAAAGAATCTCATCCGATTGCTTATTCTAGACTGAGGGAGGGGTTGACTCTCCAGACCTGCTCATTCATCCTCCTACAGATCTTTACCCCCAAATCTTTCTGCTGGCCATTTCTAGCAGGTCTTATCATGCTGGTCAGGTCTGCCCGTCATCAGCCTCATGCACTCTTTAGAACCACTGGTGGTATGATATGGCTGTATGTGCTAGCTTACAAGAGCCATTGGTCAACTGAAAAATTTGCCACCATGTGAAATCAACAGATACTACGGTCAAGACTGCATCGGCATGCTGTTGTAGTAGTTTTTACAACTGTTTTTTCAGCCATCTTTTTTTTTTTCTTCTTCTTTTTGAGACAGGGTCTTACTATGTATCCCTGGTGGACCTGGAACTCAATATGTAGACTAGGCTGACTTTAAACTCACAGAGATCAACCTGCTTTTGCCTCCTGCGTCCTGGATAAAAGGCATGCAGCACCACACCCAGCCTGTACTAGTTTGTTTTGTTTTGGTTTGGTTTGATTTTCTGGTTTGAGGCAGGGTCTTCATATGTAGTCCTACCTGGAACCCATTATGTAGCCCAGGCTGGCCTCAAACTTTCAGTGTTTCTCCTGCCTCTGCTTTCTGAGTGCTGGGATTACAGGTATGTACCACAACACCAAGCTCTAAATGAGTTTCTGACCCTTGATGCTAGGCCCAGATTCTCCACCAGTATGACTCTCAAAGGGTCTCACACTCTAAAGACCTGTGTGAGCACTGGTCCTTCATGTTTGTTGTTACTGTCAAACGCACATCAATCAGCACAAAGCCATGAGCATGCAATCTCAAGGATGCAAATGGAACTGATATTTAAGGACACCATTGTGACATGTGCTCTACTTTTTATTTCTGTTGTCTTGATAAAATACCCTGACTAAAACAACTTAGGGAGGAAAGAGTTTATTTGGATTAAATTCCAAGTTACAGTCCATCATTGAGGGGATTCTGGCTTGTTTGTTCTCTTTCTCTCAGTTAATGTTTTCCTCTCATGCTATTCAGGGAATGGTGCCACCCACAATGGACACCTTTAATAATCAAGACAGTCCCCCACAGACATGCCCACAAGCCAACTTGATATAGACAATTCTTCAGTTAAGGCTCTCGGGTTATCCTAGATTGTGTCAAGTTTATTATTATTATTACTACTATTTTTTTTCTGGCTTTTTGATACAGGGTCTCCCTGTAGCCCAAGCTGGCCTGGAACTCACAATGTAGATAAAGTTGGCCTTAATCTCTCAGAGATCTGCCTTCCTCTGCCTCACCACACCCAGAAAGTTGATTATTAAAACAATATCAGCACAGGGCTGGCAGATGTCAAGTCTGACACCCTGAGTTTAATCCCTAGGACACACAGCGTAGAAGAAAGAGAACTGACCTCCACACACACCATGGCATGAAGTGTGCCACCCCCCCAATGATAAATGCAATAAAACTCCCACATTTTCCAGGTTTTTCAACTGTAGTTTTTTCATGCCACAGATCAGCCATGTTAGAAGACAGCACACCTATATTCATGTTCAGTTAAATAGGCTAGGTGTGGTGGCGCACACCTTTAATCCCAGCAAAGGCAGGAGAATCTCTGTGAGTTCAAGGCCAGCCTGGTTTACACAGCAAATTCCAGGCCAGCTAGGGCTACAGGAGACCCTGTCTCAAAAAGAAAAAAAAAAAATCTTAACTAGAATAGACTTTCTTCTGTAATACCTTTCAAAATCACACTCTGATTTGTGCGTGCATGTGTGTGTGTGTGTGTGTGTGTGTGTGTGTGTGTGTGTCTTTATACGTCGGAGGGGACAGAAGTATGAGCCACTGAGAGGGATCGCATTTAGTTTTATTATGATGCTGGGGATGGAACCCAGGGCCTTATATATACTAGGCAAGCTGTGTATCACTGAGCAACAAATTCAGCCTCTAAAACCTGATGACATGAGTTCAATCCTCAGAACCCATGGTAGAAGAAGAGAACCAACACCAAAAGTACCTTCTCTCTCTCCCTCCCTCCCCCCCATGTACACATAACAAATAATAATAATAATAATGATAATAATAACAGATTCAGTCACCTAGAAAGCAGAGTAGAAGAATGGGGGGCACTGGTAAGCACAGGCTACTCCCCCAGATAATATTGTAAGCACAGGAAAGCTGTTCTTTGTCATCATAATACAGCTGTCTTGTCACTTAGGATTAAACTCTCTAATTATCCTGTTTGACTCATTAAAAGCATCTCAAAGAATATTACATCATAACAGATCCCAGACACTTAAGCTTACCTGTGATGATTCTGCAACACTTCTTTTCTAACCCTGGAAAATTCTTCAGTATTCTGTTCAACATTTTCAATTTTGCATCTCAAAGCTCGGTATTTGGCAAGAGATGGTGGGCTGGGTTTGAACAAATGAGTTTCACAAACATTCACCATGTCTCTTATTAGCTGCAGGTAGAAACGATAGAGAGATGTTAAAGTCACTACATATCAATGTTAATATTTATGTAATTATGTATATAATATTTATATTACATTAATACTTTCCAAAAAGATTAGAAAAACTCTTTTCCTAAAAAGCTTTTGATTAATATTTGCTGCTAGTAGTGTATTAAACCCAATAAAAGCTTGGTACAAAGCTGGGCATCGGGGCATACACTTATAATCCCAGCACTTTGGAGGCTGAGGCAGGAGGACTGCTGTGAGTTCAAGGCCAGCCTAGGTTACATAGTGAATTGCAGGCTAGCCCAAGCTAGAGTATAAGACCTTGTCTCAAAAATAAAAATAAAAAAAGTTTTTAAAAATCCAAAAGGTTGCTGGACATGGTGGCACATGCCTTTGATCTCAGCACGCTGAAGGCAGAGAGAGGCTGGTGGATATCTGTGAATCAAGGCCAGCCTGGTCTACATAGTTAGTTCCAGGCAAGGTAGGGCTACAGGGAAGCCCTGTCCCATACAAAACAAAGCAAAACAAAAACAAAAAAGAAAATCCACCAAAAAGTCAGAACAAAGGCACATACCAGTTTTCTTGGCTACTTGGGAAACTGAAGCAGGAGAATCAGTTGAGCCCAAGAGTTCAAGAGAAACCCCCCACTCCCAAAAAATACATAGATAAGTAAAATAAAATTGCCTCACTGACAACACAGTATAGGTATACATTAGTATAATACAGTATGTTAGTTGCTTTTTTCATTGCTGTACCAAAATATCTGACAGAAGTACTTTAAGGAGGGGTGATGGTTCAAATGAGAATATCCCCACAGGCTCCAAGTATTTGAAAATTTTGCCCCCAGTTGGTGCTGCTGTTTGGGGAGGTCTTAGAAGGTGTGGCCATGCTGGAGGAAACACGTCACTGGGGGCAGGCTTAGAAGCTCTTAAACCTTACCTGATCTTGAGTTGTTCTCTTGTTTCCTGTGCCTACTTGAAGATGTGAGAGCATAGAGCTATGGGGAGGGAAAGACTTATTGGAGCTTATGGCTTAAGAGGGGATACAGTCCATCTTGGTGGGGACAGCATGGTGGCAAGAGAATGAGACTGCTGGTCACAACTGTGTCTGTAATCAGAAAGCAGAGAGAGATGGAATGCTGGTGCTCAGTTCACTTTCTCCTTTTTATTCAGTCTCGGACTCCAGCCATGAGATGGTGCTACCCACAATCTGTTCATGTCTAAACCTTTCTGGAAATGTCCTCACAGACATCCCAAGAGGTGTATCTCTTAGGTGATTCCAAATCCCATCAGGTTAACAATCAAGATCACACACAATTATCATCTACATTTTTTTAAACTTTTATTTATTTATCTTTATTTATTTATTTATTTATTTATTTATTTATTTATTTATTTATTTA